TCCATTAAAGAGGGGTCTACCTTTGGCGACAAGAAAGCTATGAAGAGATTTAGGTGGTAGATTCCCAAGGCATATGTCACAATGTACCAACCCTGAAGCAGGGAGGAAAAAAGAGTGTCTTTCTGAAAACCATTTCCAGGTACTGATTTTTCAACAATATTAAACAATCTGGTTTTTTGCTTCCTTGAGAAGTGCTCTTCTACATCCACACATTAGCACAAAAAGTTTTCTGGACTTTTAAATGAAAATACTAGAAATTCTTACTGTACAAAATACGCATTCTGACTCTATGAAAAGACGAACTCACCTTAATGAATCTATTCCTTTCCTTTGTGCACTGACAGAAACTTATGTAACATTTTTCACTTAAAGTTACCTAAACGACAACTGAACTTAACGTAATATAAATAAGCAAGATTTAAAAAAACAAACAAATATCCATTTCTGTTGCCATCAGACACATATCCTCAAGCGTTCATACATTCTCCATTCTGAAGCAGGAAGTTTAACGCCAACAAGATGTGTTTTTCCTTCAGACTATCTAGTTTACTTCTACTGTGTGCTGAATGACACAATATGTAATTATGGAGTTATACTATGCCTCAAGAACCCTTAACAAAAAACAGAACAGTAATATCTAAATCTACTCCAGTGGTAAATCCAGTTTTCTTACCTGCAGTAAATAAACTCTGATCATGTAGATAAAACTCAGACCCAAAGTTACAATCCATCGCACTGCAGTATATGGAGTAGATTTGTCTAACCAGGATTGGTAGATCTAGGAAGAAATATAAAGTGTACATCTGTAAAATACATGATGCACAGTGAATAAGGTTTAGTACAGGGTAGCAATTAGAAATAGTTAAGCATTTGTGAGGAGTATTTTGGGAAGGAGAGTAACACAAAACACTTGTACTATTGCTTACAAGTAAACTGAATTGCACAAACATACAAGCATTGAAAGAGTTCTGTATTTTTACACACAAAAAAAATTCCTCATGCTGGGGGCATCATACAGAAATTTATTTTTTCAATATTTAATGAAAGTTTATTTTCCTTATTACTCTGACATGAAAACTGAAGTCGTCATTCTTTGTTTTTGACAACAACATGTATTTTCACTGTGCAATATCACATGTAAGTCCATTAATTATTACATTAAGCTAGGTATTTTAAAAAGGCTTCAAAGTAAGTATTTCATACAGATATTAGTGTTTGAACAACTCATCCAAAAAGTAATGATGTTTACTTAAGAAGCCTCACTGAGACCTGCTTCTAATGGATTCAGAAAAGCCCTATAGAAAACCAACCTGTCCGAGTCTTGAGAAAAATCTATAGACCACAGAAGGCTTTCCATGCACAGACTCACCAATACTGTCCCCTTCTGACATGGTTGCTGTGGAAACAAAACATGACACATAGATAACATTTAAAACAAAAAAATCTAAGCTCAGCAAAGCTTTACATTTTCTGAACAGCATTTACATGTGATATTCTCTTGGACTGCCCTTTCTGAAACAAATTATTTTTAAGGAAGTGTTCTTAAAGAGAGGTAATTTCTTCCAAAAGAAACTGGCAAGAGAGCAAAGAAAAGGGTATTTTAGAAAGGCAAAACAGGATCCAGTCCATTTTAGGAAGGAGGGGAAAAAAGTCCATGCAGAACTGCAGGAATGAGCCTTGTTAGACGTCTTCAACTTGAGCAGGCAGGAGCTGAGTTACATCTAAGCACTGAGATAGGAACTGCAGCACCACCCTCCTGTCTCCTCAGTTTCTATAGGCAAAGAACAAAACCAAAATAAATACTTTTTAAAAAGCTGCTTAGGAGCTTTAAATACTGACTACATAGCGAAGAAGTTCATGACTGTACACCACTGGCTACAGACAAAAAGCTCTACCACAAGCACCTATACCAAAACCCTGCCCACTGCTAGAATTATTCAATGAGTTTCTCTCTCTCAAACATTAAGAGCTCAGCAGTGACAGAAAAGTTGCACACTAGCAAAGCTGTGTAAGGGCCAGGACTCTGAACTTGGGATAAAAAATGAACCAGGGGAATTCTTTTTTAGTACATACTTCTCCTACCAATTTCGGAGCTTTATTTTTCTCTCAGTTAAGCTCAACCAAGTTTTACAGCTCCCTTCAAGACAGAAAACAAACAAAATAAAACAGATTCTAAACAGAAACATTTTTGCCACATCACCAAAAGCAATCCCTCACATTACTTCCTGGAGTCCTCATCTGTGGGTGGGACTACATAACTCTAGGATAGTGGCAGTTCTTTCAGCCCTCTATCAATATCTCAAGGGCCTCAGATGATAATAAAGATCTACCAAACTTTACTAAATCAGAAAATTGTAACTTATCTTAGATTCTGCCATACAATGACTGCTGCAAAAAATAATTACAGGTCAAGGCCAACATGGAGAGGCACAGAACCTGCAAGCTGTACATTTCCTCTGTAAATGTCTATTAAGCTACATCCTATGGAATAATTAGTAAGTAGAAAAAAAGGAGTCCTGTTACACTTCAGAAGATAAAGGGATTCATTCTGAGGCTTCAGGATCTGCAGTCCCTTTTAATACAAACTAAAGCAAAAAGAAAAAAAATCAAATACAAACTCATACAATAGAGACAAACTTTTTCAATACAGGCAAAAGGAAATAATTCTTATTCTTCCCCTTCAATGCACTGCAGGAGATAGAAGTTACTCAGCATTATCAGCTGAGCATGATTTTGTGCTCCCGCCCCTTTTGTTTAAATGTCCTGAAGTAAATAAGCCATATCAAAAAGATAATCCATCTATTGAGCAGAGAGCAATTCTCTAAACATCACAAACATAAAACCTCCCGTATCCTCAACATGAATTTCACAGATGCATCCATAGCAAATCTGGGCTATAAGTAGACCAAATATTACAATCTTGTAACCATTAATCTCTGCAGATCAAGTGAATAATCCTGTGTGTAAGGCTACTGATGGCTTTACAATGGAGCAGGCATTTTGTTTGGTGTAAGAATTACACGATATGCAACTACGTGTGATCGTTTATCGTACACAGAGTTCTTCCACAGCAGACCAAGAAACACAACCAGCTAACACTGCCTGTTTTACTGAAAAGAAACCTCTCACTGGCCCCATTTAAGTAGCACAGACTGAACTATATCACCGAACAGTTCACAATTTGAGTTAGCATTTCTTATCACGATAGAACTTTACTGAAATAACATTTATAGTTAGATAATGACCAAGAAAAGCAGTCTTTGGCATTGCTTCTAAGGCAGTTTAGTCATGAACATAGGTCAGAGCTCATTGGTTTAAGGGAATATTTAAATCTAACCAGTAGAAATCCTTCTTTCGTAAGACTTTACCACTTAGCATAATGAATTACAATAACCCTTCAGCCATTCCAGTAAAGCAAATGATCAGAAAGATATACAAAGATTAATACAACAAATAATCGAATGGTTGGCTACAGGCACAATACAAACTGCTACCAAAACTAAACCACATTAGAACATTTTTCTCTGCTGGAAAACACCAAGTAGGTGAATGTGTGACCTCCAACAGTTAATCCTTTCAGCACAACCATTGTGGTAATACCCTTACAAATAGCACTGCATCACTGGGCTCTTAAATACTGCAGGACCTGGGGCAGTAAAGACATTCAGTTTTTGCCTCACATCATTACATACAGAGAGACACAGTTTTCAGACAACTCTCAGATCCCGAAATGGAGTTTTCTTAAATTTGGTATATAAATGAAGCCCGTAACCAGCAAAACCACACTGCTGCTCATGCAAGTTTCCTTATCTCATAGAGAAAACACTGCTGAAGAGCAACACACTTAAGTGACTTCTTAACAATGGGATGGACAACTACAGAAAAACAGCCCACTGACTGTGTAAACTGCTTTAACCCTATAACCCACGTTATTTGTGGTCTGCCAGGATTAGGTCTGGCCTGTCAGGACTGTGCAACCACCAGCAGCACAGCACCCGTGCTCACAGAGCTTCCCTGAGACCCACATACCCTGAGCACTCGTTAAACCCAACACAAGACACTGGGAAAAGCCAGCGGACGGGCAGCAAAAGAGAAGGCCCTGAGGCAGGAGCAGGGCCCGCTGACGCGAGGAGGGCGCGGGAGCGGAATAAGACGGGCAGCGCCTCAGCGAGAGCGAAACGGAGCCGGCGGCAGGGCCCGGGCAGCCGCCCCGCAGTGTCCGCAGCTGGGAGGAGCGCCTGGGCCGCAGATGCGGCACAGCCGAACCCAAAGAAGCCCCCACGCTCGCAGGGGGGGGCCCTCAACCAGACCGGCACTGCCGCAACCCCGCCAGCCCAGAGGCCCCGGCCCCAGTCCCACCTTCCCGGCCGGGCCCACAGGCACAACGCGGGGCAGCGGCTACTCACAGGCGGGCGAGCCGCGCTCCTCCTGCCGCTACCCCCACCCGCTTCCTCAGAATCCAATATGGCGGCACAGCAGGGAAATAGCCATTTCCGCCTCCGGGGCAAAGAGGCGGAGCAAAGACGCGATATTACCTCGCCATTGGCCCCGGCGGGGGAAGTGGGCGTTGCCGCGGTTAAAAGGAGGGAAGAGGCGCGTATGAGGGCAGGCGGTAGGAGCAGAGCAGGTGTGGCGGCGTCGGTCCCGGTTGGTGGCAGCCGCAGTGCTACCGGCGGAGACCCGTGCCCTGCGGCAGACGGGATACAGCTATCCAGGGCTGAACGCTGGACCGGAGCGGTTGCTATATCTCTTTAGCTTCCGCGCATGCGTGAGGAACGCCCCGCCCCTCGCTCCCGCTCAGCCTATGAGAACGTGGAGGATGTTGTGTGGGTGGTGCCTGCGCGAGGCGGACGGTGGCGGTGGGAGGAGACGGGCCAGAGCTCTGAGGTAAAGAGCAGGGCTCCGGCTCCGGCTCCGCGTCCCGCGCTGGCCCCTTCTCAGCCTGGCCCCTCGTCGCAGCTGCGGGACGGGTCCCGTGTGTCCGCGACACGAAGAGACGCGAAGCCCGCGCTGCTCGGTTTAGGCTGGTGTAAATGCAGTCGCTCTTCCTGCGCTCCTAACGCTGTAGCTCGTGGCTGTTTCTGTGTCATCTGTCGGTGACGCTGCAATGACCTGCAGGTATTTAAGAGCCTGGGTTCCCATTGCAGTGTAAAGTGAAGTTAAATAGCAAACAAAGAAATAAAATTCTCTTCGCTGTTGTTGGTACTGAAGTTGTAGAATAGGTATCCCCGAGGAGAATTAGCGCTTTAACTTAAGTCTTACTAGTTACTCAGAATTCAGTATAGCATTTCTGAACTGTTGGAATAATTCGTTTGTGTTCTCTTATGGCGATGGGCAGGGCGGGTGTAGGAGCCTCAGGTGGGTCTTGTCAGAGGAACTGAGGCCTTTTGCCTGAGCCCAGGGATTTGTGCTGACCAGAGGAGCATAAATCAATTGAGTCTGCAACAATCCTTTTAGTTTCACCTTTTCTTATGAAAAATGGTGTTATTCGTAGTCGTTAAACCTTTTGTATGCTGTAAGACAGAACCAGAAAGTGAAAGGGTCTCCTTTTTACACGTATGTGATCATTACCTGTGAAACTAATACAGCTGTGGGGCTCACAACTGAAAGTCAGATCCTTGACTTCAAGTTTTAATAACTGTGATTCTGTTCTGCTCTATTAGAGCCAATAAGGAAAAGCCTGATTTAATGGATTCATCATTTCTGCCTTGTATATACTTTGTAAATCCCTTCAGTTGGTGTCAGTGTTTAGATGCTGAGGTAGTGGGAGAAGTCTAGAACATGCGAAGGTGCCAACAATGCATAGAGATAGATTTAGTCGTATAAACGAGAAAAACATGAGAAAGTCTCAGCTTTTTCCTTGAGCAGGAAACAGGGGTGGACATTTCTCTGTTAATAGGAAGCATTGTTTTACTTTCTAGGTCAGGACAGGGTGTCCATCAAAGATTGAGGTTACTGTGAGGGCAAGTGTGTCAGTGGAGAAATTATGGGGAATGGATTTCAATACTGGGCATCCACAGGTAAGTCTGTAACTACCAAAAAAACCCCAAACCCTGTCTCCTTAAAATCCGTAATATAAATATGTATCACAAGCAGTCAAACTGATTTAGTCCAAGTTGTCCTACTTCCATGATGTTTATTGAAGAGTTCTGTTTTTCATATTTTCCATTTGCTCCTCAAGTTAGGCTGGGTTAACAGTCAGTCACTTCAGAAAGCTGATCAAATATGTCAGTGGTAGAAACAAGAAACATATCATCAATTTTTAACACTAGTTTCCATCAAAAAACCGTTCAGGTGACTGAAATTCAAATACTACTTTTGTACATTCCTGAACCATAATAGAACACACTAAAAATCTTTTTAATGCATCACTTTTGGTTTTACCAGAAGGAATATGATTTGTTAGCTTCAAAATAAAGACTATGTTTGTACATTTGTAGTTTTCATTAGACAGCAGTAATAACAAAAAACTATTTGTTAATTCTAAACTTTTAGGCTTTTATAATGTCTTATATTTGTTCTGAGTGCAATATCACTTATTGTTGAAAGTTAAATATATTAAGAAACTTAAGATTGTTTGACACATCTGTTTCTGTAGGTAACTTTCTTGTATATTTGTCCATTTGTGTGCAAACACTTTTGTGCCTCTGGGTGTCTCTCTAGCATCTGTTTTGAGACTGATTTAGTAAATTCCTCAGGCTTACATTTGTTCAGTAACTGGTCTGCTCTGCAGGGTTGTAGGCATTTAGTACTATATTTAAGTTTACACTGTATGTGTTCAGAAGTGACAAGATACTCTGCCTTCCCTTTGCCCCCCCGGATAAAATCCTGATGCTACTGATGACTGTCTTGTTGACTGATTTTTTATATCATGTAGAAAATGTGATATAAAAGGCAACCACTTAATGCAAGTGTTCGCTCTGCATATGATGTTTTCAAATTATGTAACTTAACATAAAACAATGAAAGCATAAGAGTAATTTTCTTCAGGCAAAAAAATACGTTAAAGTTTTTTTTAGCTGGTATTTTTTGGTTTTTGACCTATTACCATAGAGTTATGAAACAGCACCTTGGACATACTGAAGTAATCTGCTAGAGCAGAAAGAACATGGGCAAATATTTGAAGCTGCAAAGTATTCTAGATTTACTTCTGTGTGATCTATGTGAATAGATTGAGTAATGGCAGGAATGTTGAATTTTTTCTGTTTTTTCCTCTTAGGTTTTAACTGTAATAATGTCAGGGATAGATTTTTAGATCAATCTTTTGCAAATGATAAATTTTTAGTAAGTGGATGTTGCCAATTAATAGCATATTGTAGGCTGTGAACCTTCAGAGATTCAGATCGATTGAATGTCCAGTAAACAAGCAATAAATGTAACTGTATCAGCAGAGGAGTCCAATAATGACCAACAACTGTGATTTATCTACTGCTTAAACATAAAACTATTTTCACAATGGGTGGAAATGTTGTCAAGAGAGGCCAAATAGAAACTGTCACTGTGGTGGCCTGTCTGGCTTTTGTGCATTCATATGTGCACACGTTTGAGAATGAAAGATGACAATGAGATGTTAATGAAGTAAATTGCTCATTTTCTTCATGAAAGTGTTTCCTTTCTGTGATTTCTCGTTTCTGGCTGCTGCCTAGGTCCCGGTAAGCAGATGCTGTGCTCCATTCTGTCCCTGTTGCTGCTTCTTTGTGTGTTTTGGCTGTGTTTGGTTTGTTGTCTTTCCCAGAGGAAGGCCTGCTGTTAGATACACCTGTTAACCACATGGAACAGGTGGCAAGCCTTATGGGCTTCTTCACCTGCAGGCCTGTGTTCCCCCAAATTCATCTGAGTTACCTGTTTGGAAGTGCCACAGTTTCAGTTCTGATGCAAATTATTCCAATTAGTATTTTGATTGCTCAGAGCTATTCTGCATACTAGTGGATAATATGAAATTGGAAGATACAATAGGTCTTCCTGAATCTTGGTTACATTCCTATATTAAAAAACCCAGCAAAACATTATTCTCCTTATTATTCCCTTATTCAGGGATCAAAAGCAATTAAAAGTTATTGAGTTATTGTCTTTTATGTATATTAAGCCAGTAAAACAATTTGAGTGTCAATAACTTTCTGAAATGTTGTATGGAAACTATGAAGTTTGAGGGAGAAATAAAACTTTGTGTCTTTTTACATAAACTGGCTTATATTTGAGACTGTAATTCTTGGGATAAACATTGATTCTCCCAGGTTCTAAAACCAGACCATATTGTGTGAACCATCTGAACATATCCAGCCAGATGAGTAGTCAGGATATACATGAGTAACTGTGTATTTAAATACAGATCATAGAGTCATAGAATGGCTTGGATTGGAAAGGACCTTAAGATCGTCTAGTTCCAACCCCCTCTAGACACATCCCACTAGACCAGTTTGTCTAAATTAGCATCCACTGAGGCTGTGTGTTGTAATGCCAGAGATTTTAATAAAGGAAAACATGATTCAGTTATTGCTTGAATCTGGAAAGTAATTTTGACATGATATTTAAGATCAGGCTCATGCAAATAAGTTTCATGAATGGTTGAAACCAAATAATGAAAATCACTGCTGAAAGCCCAAATCAGAGCATGTAGAAATTGTTGAGTGTAGAGGCAGAGGAGTTGAGTCTAGAGGCAGGCAAGCTTGAATTTGAAATAAACAGAATTAATTGCAATAAAAATTGTAGTAGCCAGTAACTGAAACATAGAAACATCATCATGTAACTGAGCTACATGTGAATTTACTACTGTTTAAGTTATTTTCTTAGAACTAGTTGTTTCAGAGTTATCTCCCATGATGAATAAATTCTTGACATCTCAGGTTTTTTAAACACGGTGAGTCATGATAACCTGTTTACACAGGCTGTTGCAGAAATGAATTATTACGATAATATGATCTTGTGAAATTACCACTGTTAGTGTACTAAATGTTCTTATTTATTACCTGAAACATTTAATTGTGGTTTAAATAGATTCCATATAAGACCATTTACTTTAGAGTTCAGAAACAGTCTACCACTGCAGTGTGCAGTTACTGGAATAAATTCCTTATTACTGATTACTGGGATAGGAGGATATCTGTGTTGACACCTAGTTGGTGATAAACATCTTTGTCTTCACTGGTTACTGTTCTTCATGAACTTTATTTCTGTTTTGGTTTTTATTTCTGTTTTTTGCAACCTATGAGTAGGTTGCAGTGTCATGTGTTGTAGGTCTCTGAATTACAGAAAACACAGGGCCTTACTAAAATTCAAGGATTTAGTTTTGTTTAAAGCAGAATTTTGTGTTCTAGTTTAAAGCCAAAACCAAACACAAACAAGAGAACCCCCACAGCACTATACAGTCCATCACTGGAAGCTTGTAGCTTTTTCTTCTGTTTCCTGCTCCCCTTTGTTCGTGTACTAACTGGTAGCTCTTTTTCTGGAGGCCCCTATGTCACTCTGGTTCTTCACGCCTTTGTTTCTTTGCATAAATGTGTGATGTATGGATAGTGTTTATGTGGACGTCAGCATTTCCAAACCTTGCATGTGTTGCATTGCTAAGCAACTTTTAGCAACACTTATCTCTCATCCTTATGCCATCTGGAAAAGAGAATAAGACAAGGAAATGTGCCAGAGAAAGACAAAGGCACATCTAAGAAAGAGGTGGCTTAATTACTGAAGAGAATGAGTGACATTAATAGTAGGCAATCATCAGAATTGATTGAAGGCAAGTACAATGCCTTTACAGGTAGTGATAAGGAACCAGTGAGATAGGTTGCATATTTTATACTCCCTGGCCTTCTTCCTTCCCTAGAGGAAGCCGTACCCAGCCGAATCCTATTGCATATTTAAATGCAGTGGTGCAGGATGAAGGCCCCTGTGACTTCAGTACAAAATTTGGATACAATTCCAGTCACAGTGAGTTTTTTTTAGACCTGGTTGTTACATACATTCAGGAGGACACCTACTGACTACCCCTTCCACTGGGCAGGGAAGATTGTGAAAATACTGGTGGAGCTTCGATCTTGAGTACATTAATTACTAACAGTGCTGCTGTCAGATGACTGCTCAGATAGTGTTGTGTGCTTTGAAGTGATGGAAGGAATAGGCCAAAGCAAGTAGGATCAGAAGCATATTCCCAAAGAACTGCTTTGTCTTTGCTTTTATCTTCTAGCTTACATCTGTGATTGCTGAAGGTGTAAACAAAATGCTGCCAAACCCATCTGGAGTTTAACTGGGTCCACACAGTTTAGAGTTGCAGTAGTGCTTTATTTGGCCCCTCTGCTGTTATCACATGAAAAGCTAGATATCCAACTTAACAGAAGAATGATCACTTTAGACTTTGAATCTCCAGTTCCTTATGTACCCTTAACATTGAAAGAATGTTGTCTGATAGCTAAACAGGATTTAGTACCATGTGAAACAAGTGACATTTGTTACGGAGTTGTTTTACTTCCTGTGCATGGACTTTAGGCTGGACTTTGATCATTGTCTGATTATTTCCTTATCAGTTTCAACTCCAAACTCCTCCCAAGATATGGGAACAACTCAGACTAATTTTCAGTGCCAGTTCTGTGCTTCAAAATGCATACTACAGTATACAATACTATATGTGCTTTTCACATCTGAAACTGAACCCGGTATTCCTGATTGTCTCCTTCCCTGTCCTGTCAGCAAATACCTGTGAAATGTTTGACAAATTTTCCTGTCCTTCCCTAGTATAGGACCACACGAAGGAATGTTTACTGTGCTGTCGGTTTATGTTAGTGTAATCGTGGCTGTGAACTAATCATCTCAAGATTATACTGTGTTGAAAGGGTACACTAGAAAAACTGCCTGTTCACCATGACGTAACACTCCATTGCACGCTTACATGTGCAAGTTTAACTTTGCTAGAAACTTTTAATTGGCTCATACCTAAGCTTCTGTGGTATTTGGCTTTGCAGCCTCAGGAATTTTTAAACTTTTGTGTGAAGGGTATGGCTTGGGTGAAATGCAGTCCAGATTTAAATAACTGAAGCTTTTTGGAATGGAGTTTGGTACACTATTTCACTTTTCACCATCTTTAAAAAGCAAAGTAATGTGTGATTCTGTATGTGACAAAGCAGTTATTCATTCTTGCCATGTAATTTAATGCGATGCAATATATGAACTGAAGGACCTCACATAATAGTATCCCACAGTAACAAACCTTGGGCAAGAAATGTTTGATTCTCCCCCCTTTCCCCTTTAGAGGAGTACATAATCCTTGACGGTTGTGTGGTCTCCTATTCAACATTTCACACAACTGTTGGAAGGGTATTTATAAGAAGTCCTGAGGACCACCCACTCTGCTATTGAAAATTGGCTGAAATAATCCCTTCTTTACAATTTAGCTGTGGTGTTGTCGAAATTTAAAATCCGTGTGTATTCCTGTTTAAAGGGGCAGTGGAGAAATGACGTATTCAATGAGTGGAGAGCTATAGTTAATTGTTCTGGTGACATCTGTGATGGACTGTGGATCAATGGCTCCCCTGCTGGTACGTACATTCATTATGCTCTCCAGTTATTAACAAGTCTTTGGCATAATGCTTTGGTTGCCCCTCTTTCGATTAATATGATCTGACTATAGTGTTTCGCATCCTCTGAGTACTCATTTCTCCTAGAATGCATAGTTTTCTGGACAAGGGGGATGACTATTTGACTGAGACCTTTCCTACAGGGAGGGAGCTGTTCTCTCAAATTAAACACAAAGCTGCAGTGAGGTATCAAATATTCCTGTAATGGATTTTTATTCTTGCATAAGGGAGAGGTTTTGGGGTTTAATAATGTGGGTTTTTAATTTTAAAGTAAAAGTATTTTGGAATTAGTAAATTGGAAGGGTAGCAAAAGAAACAAACTGCATGTTGGGATGCATAAGACACTAAGCCCAGATAGTTTAATTTATGTCATTGGAAATTGTAAAGAATTGCTCAGCAGGTTCTAATTTCTTAAGCACAGAGCAAAAAATGAATCCTGTCATAATGCAAACATTTGGACTCAATAGCTTAATAGAAAGCTTTTCTAACCCAGTTGACTTCTGCATGAGAGAAATGTTTACACAGGGTATTGTAGTACCAACTGGAGTGTAGCTCATCAAGAGGTGCTCATAAGTAGATTTTAGTATTGCCTCAATCAGATATGAATGTATTGCCACAAAAGTGATCCAAAAAACTTGAGATGCAGTACATATGCATGTACTCTTGGTGTCAAGCAGCAAAACACATGGAATGGAATTAAGATCTGTGCAGCAGCCCATCCTAAGTATATATGCATGTCATAACCTCTCCTGTAAGATGTTAATAAGACTCTAAAAATGAAATATTTAATAAAAAAACCCAGAAGACTATAATTCACCTGATTGATTTCCATCTCTAATATTTGGCATACTTGTAATGCTAGATCATCTTTTCTGAACCCAGAATGAAAATGTTCATTTTTAGAAGCATTTCCTCTAAAGGAATAAGTTGTAGGTTTCGTAAATCCCACAGTAAAAAGCTGCTTTAATCCAGTCAAAGTTGATAGTAATCAAAATTCATAGCTGTGTTCAAACCCTGTAAAATGTTGTGATGGTCTGTTTTGTGATTAGTTAGCAGATGTTAACTTTAACAGTTCTTTTTTTCTGGCACTGTAAGCTGAACAATAAGGAATTGAATAGGTCTTAAAGAAATCACTACACAATCATGGAAGTATTCTCTTCAGATTACTATCAGGATATATTTGAAGAGGGAAAATTTGTTCCACTCCTGTTCACTGGGTACTTAGAAGACTTAATTTTCCCTTTTCTCAGCAGTGCAATCATTTACATTCTGTACTAAGGAAGAGTGGTATTCCTGCTTATCACCAAACCTTAATTGTTTTTTCAGTCTCTTTAAAATGCATTTTTGTGGAAGTCAAGGTTATTCTCAGGATTTCAGTTTAAAGTAAATGCCCAGAGAAGTATTTCAGGCAGAGTGATAGCTTGGCTTCTGTGACAAAACAGCTTTCCTTAAAAGAAGTGATCCACTTCCTTCTAGCAGACAGGTTCACTTTAACATCGTGATCGTCCAAGCCAAGTACGGATGATACTGTTTGCTCTTTGTGAGGCATTCACCTCCGCAAGGACTGTTGACCCTGGATGTCTTGGGCAGCATTTCAGCTGCACAGTTTTTGCTAGCTTTCTGTTGGAACTTTGCATCAAATTTATCTACTAACCTTCTTCTCCTGTTCCCTGAAATCAAAGTGAGAGAATTTTACAGGTACTTAACCCCAGAACCTGCTGTCCTGAGTCCATTCTTTAATAAGCAACATAAAGATAAAATTATAAGCAAAGTTTTACTCTTCCTATGGAGACTGAGGTGTGAGAAGGAGGAGAGGGGTGCAGGTTCACCCAGTCTCAAAGTAGATATTTCTCTTGCAGCCTATGGAAGTTCTGGAGGAAGCTATGGTGGAGCAGATGTTTCTGTGCAGAGGACCACAGTGGAACAGATACTGACACTGCAGCCCATGAAGAAGGACCCCATGCCAGAGCAGGTGAATATTTCCTAAAGGAACTGTAGCCCATGGGACAGGTTCTACTGACAGGAGCTGTGGCTTATGGAGGACTGATGCTGGAGCATGGTTAAAATGTGAGGAGGAAGAAGCAGGAGAGAGGGGCTGTTATGGACTCGCCACAACTTCCCCATTCCTCATACCCTGTGTTGTAGTCATCAGCCATTTACTTTATTTGATGCTGCTGGGCAAAGTAGAGGTTCTGATGCCTTTTTAAGAAGTACAGAGAGGTTTATACTCTTAATCTTTACCAGGACTTGTAATGTTGTGACACAGTAACAGTAAGAGATAGTTAATACATGATTGTGATATACTAACTTCTTACTTCTTGTTCTTTTAATGATCAGCTGTGAGCAGTTGTCATTTGGAGATCTGGGCTCGCACTGGAAACCACGAAGCCCCATCAAGTTCTGCTACCAACTTATTTGAGTTGATTGAAGAAACTGAGAGGAAAACAGTTCTGTGTGCGTAGTCTGGGGAAGAGTCAATTTCATTGTGTATTTCCCTTGATTAATATATGTATTCAGTAATCTAAAACCAGGTAGTTGGTTTGCCAACATCATAAATTACAGCAAAGGTGCAAGTGTTATAACCTAAACATAGTAGCAGATACCTTTTTCTAGATGCTCAGGTGTTTTTATGGTTGTCACGTACACTTTTATAGTGTAATATTTAGCCTTTGAAGAGTGCAGGTTGTTTGCTGCCCTCCCCTGCCTCTAACTGGTGGCTTCTGACTATTCAAAGAAAGATCCTTTAATTGAGCAAATAATACACCATGCTCTGTCTTCAATCTGGGAACATTAAAATCATCCTTCTAAATACGGATTTGTGATCCTTTAATAATTGATCTCTGAAGTATGGGTAAATCCACTCAAGTCTCTGGAAACTTCTGAATGTGTCAGTACTTCTAAAAGGCCAAGAACCCCTTTAAATCTCATTGAAATTTGTTAACAAAATCTCACCCAGCAATTTGTTTCTCTGCATATTTTTATAGCAACAATTTTCTTTTTTTTTTTTCCTGTCAAGGATAATAGCTGATGTCAGAACTGTAAATACTCCACAGTAGTTATTTGAAGTACAGTACCAGATGAAATTGAATCTACTGTGAAATTTTTCTTTGAAGCTGTGAAACTTGATTCTCTGTTTATTAGGGAAGTCACTGCTTTCAGTTTGTGCAGCATTTCAGCAGAACTTGGAAAACAGAAGGGGTAACCTAAATGAATTATATAGCCTCACTTGTCAGCTGTATCTCCAGTTTGACAAAATCTAATGAAGTTGTTGGAGAGATAGTTCTTAATGTATGTCTTCTGCTGCATACCCAACTTTAAATTTATATACCGAGTACCTGGTGGTTGTCATGGTGAATTTATTCTTGTATTTGCACTTAAGATTTAAAAACCTAGCAGCATACATAAACAAAAATGTCAAAACTATTTTCTTTCATTGGATCTGAGTGTATAAGGTGTCTTGACATATGTGCATCTGGAAACTGGGAACTGAAATCCACTGTTTCTTTCACTAGCAATTCTGGATTTCACTGGCTGATTCACCAATCCCTAAGGGACATAGGGCCAAAACCTGGAACTGACACCAGTAGGGAGATGAAGATGCTTCAAGCAGTCAGCATGGTAAGTAAAGATAATGAATTGACTGCTCAGCTTCTTTGTTAACTGAAAAATGAAGAAGTATCTTTGCAGAGTAGTAAAATAACTCCAGAGTACAAAAAACTGCCTTGATAATACAAACAGGCAGTTCTTAAATGATTTTTTTTTTTTTCAGCACAGAGTGCTGAATGTCTCATAATAAATAGAAACAAAAAAATGACACTGATTCCACTTGGCAGGCAAAATCTGTCCCTCCTAGGGTTTCTTTTCAGTTATTTTAATCAGGTGAAATGTACTGGTGTGCAGCAAGATCAAAAGCGTTCAAGTAAGTTTCTACAGTCTTAATTCATTTACCGAGAATGAAACAAGGCCTGAAATTTGAACCTGGAGTCCAGATTCACTCACCTTAAGAAATACTGCCAGTACTTGAGGTGCTTCTAGTGGCAACTTTGACTGGCATGTGAAACATCAGTATTGAAACATCAGAATTGACAAAGTCTTACTCTGTATCTATAACCTTAAAAGACACAACACTTTCTGTTATGCTCCTAATTGCAACAAAAAGGTGTAAGGACGAAAAGAAACCCCACAAAATACTTCTGGCCATGTCATAAAATCAGAAGAGTAGCTGACTGATTTTTAAACTTCAGATTTGTTGCTTCTGAGGAGGCTTTTTGCTGGCCACTTGGTAGCTGGGGCTCTAAAGGTAACTGTCCCAGCTATGTGTTACATTGTGAAATTTGGGAAAAGCAAGCAGTTGCTTTTGCAATCCGTGTGCAAATCCTGTCTGTGACTCATGCAGTTTAATCAATTAGAAACAAAATATCTTGTGACTCCCTGGATGGGGTACCATATGTTGCAATAGAAAGATGAGCACTTTTAGAGTAGGCATTTAAGTGTTTTGGGAAAGATGGCATTGCAGGGAAAACGTTGAAGATGTGTTTTGCTTTAAATATTAGGACTTAGAAACAAACCCCACTAATTCTTCCACATAGATTGCTGAGCTGATAGTTTGGGGGATTCAAGGCATCCTGTTTTTACAGGCAGCCAGCCATTGTTCACTACAGTGTCACCACTTGGCTATGCTGTTGGTGTGCATGTGCTTGTCCTGCTGATCCATTTCGCTGTGCCTTTCAGGAGGATGGAATAACGGATGTACAAATGACTGCTATATTTTCATAATTTTGCAATGTTTTTCTGTCCTGTAAAAAGATGGAACAACAAAATAACTTGAAGAGCCTTGCACATGTTCACCCTCAGCATCCCTTGGCTCCTGCTGTCCCACCTTGATAGTTTTGGTTCACGCTGGCATGCATAATTTGCAAAAAATTACTAGTTCAGTTTCTGTCCTTTTTTTCCTGTCCTTTTTCAGTTGTTTTTAACTCAGTAAGTGTGTTTCACTTGACACCTGAAGCATTAAAGATATCCCCAAATTACCAGCATTAAATAAGTACAACCTCCTTTTGGTTGGCTTATTGCAAGGGCATTTCCTCACCAGATCTCAGGGTCACACACAACAGTAGTGTTCTTCCTTTCGTGGGACAATAAAACAGAGTGATCAGACTTCTGGCACAGTATTTCCAGGCATCCTCCTTCCACAGAAAGGAATTCTTAAATTGAATTTTGAAGTGTTCCATTGAGGTCGTGCCCAGAGTGATTTCTTCACACAGTGTGTGTTTCTGAATGTTTGTGGCAGACAAGTGACTTTTCAGTGTTACCTAATTGTCCCTGATTTCAGTGAACGAATTATCTGGGACACTGCAATAATTGGTACTGGAGGGCGAGTTAGATGAAGTGAGGCAGATGGGGTGGAAAGAGTGGGGAGAGATGCCAAAGACACTAGAGGAAGGAAGGAGGGAAAAAAGAAAAGGGAAAAAAAAAAACAAACTAGAAAGGGGAACGCTTGAAGAGCTATTGAAAGATTCTTTTCTCAGGCTGTTGTCTTACTGATTTCTCTTCTGATTCTTCCCATTTCTTCTTTTGGAGAGAAACATTGGCTGGCTCTCAAAATACCTTGGGAATAACTTCTGCTGATAAGTAAATGATGAGATCCTTGAAGCTTTCATGCATCACTGCCTGTAGTATGGATATAATCATGCAATGATGGAGAATCATCTTTTTATCCATATTGATGAACTGTCAGTGAAAGAGTTCCAAGAGGTTTTGTTGTTTAGTAATAACATATATGTAGCTATTGTTTAAATATGTATTTTTTCCATATTTCGAATAGATAATGGGATTCACACCCAGGAAAGATACATTAGATGTCACTTGACTGGAAAGCCACTTTAGTCAGTAGTTACTAATATCTGTCTTAGGCTTACAAATGAATTTCTAGTAGCTTCATGATGCTGGGCAAGTAAGTAAGCTTGATATCAATGCAGCTCTTTGGGTTTGTTTTTTTTTCTTAGTGCTATTGATGTCTTTACAACGTTTTTTGTTTCGGTATCATTTTCCAAGACACTTTTTAGAAAATATTATAATGACTGCTTAAAAGTAGGCTTAGAAACCTTATTCAATGGACTTAGAGTAGCAATGTTACCTTGGTTGTTTGTTACACTAATGGAAGCAATGCATGCATATTGAAGGATGTTCACTGTATTCTTGTTATTACAAGATATCGCAGTGTAATAAAGATAGAAATTTCTGGGCACTGATATCAGTGACTTAACGCTGCTCAATGTCCAGCTTGTTGTAATTCTGCTGTTTTACATTTGTTTCATATCATCACTTTTCTGCTGCATCAGCTAAAATATTTTTCATAATTGTCATTGAAGAAGGTTATTGTGCTACGTGTCTTAAATTTAGGTGGATTTACAAGGCTGAGTAACAAGCTTTCAATTGAAACCAGGGCTAGGAATGTACAGAGCGTTTGCATGAAGCTAACTCAAACATATGGCTGCTTCATTGTTCAGAAGATTGGAAGTGTAGAAAGTTCAGGTTTTGGCTCTTACTGTTTTTATAAGTGCTTAGCCTTAAGTGTTTTGTCATCTAATTCAACCTAATCACTATTACATACTTTTTCCTCCTTCACCCACTAGTTCCACTGACTTCCATTAAAAGTGTATTTAATTAAGATACTTTTTTGGAGGTTCATTATGGCTGAATGGATTCCCATCTTTCTATTTAGCGTTGTGACTATTCAGTTGATAACACTGATTTGAATGAGGAGCAAAACACAGTCAGGTGAAGGAGTAACTGATAATTTTAGTTGGTCGTTTAAGCAGAAAGATCATAGGGGGGGGGGGAATTATTTTGTGCCACTGCATGTTTAAAATGCTTGGTTTGTAATAGTGCTAAAGTTTTCATTATGGCCTTGATAGTTCAGGAGAATACATATTAACCTGTAACAGAAATAATTTGAACATAAATGCTTTGGGATTGTCCTTTTATTGGCAGCACTCGATTCGTTGGAGTTTTGGATTCATCAATAGAAAGAAAGTTTGCAATGAGAGAGATTTATCTCTTGCAAGAATTTGTACGTTGAAACTTTCCAAAGGGGAGAGCAAATAGGATGATTTATCTCAGGAGCATGCAGGAGGGCTAAACCAAATGTGCATCTTTTCATATGTGCTTGGACATGTTACAGTGTAAAGATTTGGAGTGGCTTTATAATTCCCAAAGCAGGGTGCCTGGGAAAAATGCTCTGTTTTCTCCCCACTATTTCTTATCCAAAAAGCCCTTTTTAGGCTGTTTAACAAAAATGAATGTGTAACTTAATGCAGGAACAGAATCGGATAACACACAGGCTGTCATATGTTAGTTAAAAAAGGGAAAAAAACCCCAAAACAGTTACCATAACAACTGACTCACCACTTGTATTTTCAAGAGAGAGAATACCTTAAAGGAAAATGGAACAGGTCAGTCACTTGCAAGTTAGTAGTGTTTTCAGTGGTAGAGCATGAAATGATTTTTCCTGGATGCAAGAATGTTTGCATTTTTTTTCCTTATTCAGGGAAGGGTTTGATATCAGAAATAAGGTTACACTCTCAGATGATCATCTCCATTACTGGAAGCAGTAGCAAGTATGTTTAAAATCAAACCCAAACCCTGAATACTTGACTTGTAATCATATTAGGGAATCCTCTGAAGAGCTGACCACACAGAATGTGTGTTAAGCAGTGGAACACCACCACTCTCAGGTGCCTTCCTTTTTTTGAGATTTACTCTTTTGGTTTGTTTTTTTTAAACTTGAAGACTCAATGACAATTTTATTTTGATTCTGTGTTGAGGACCTGATTCTGCTCATATTTGAAGTCAGTAGGAGTTTTACATCTGACATCTGTCTTTGCACGATCAAGTCTAAACATGATTTCTAAATATCTGCATGATTTTAAATTACTACTGAAATGATTACTTTAATAGACCTGAAAGAAAGAGGTTGAATGGTTCTTCAGCTGCCTCTGTAGCATCTGGAATAAAATATTAGTAATGCTCATCCCAGATCTTTGTTGTATTGCCATGGTTTTAAGTGAACATCTAACAAAAATTGTCATCTGAAGCGGTTTTAAGTGAACATCTAACAAAAATTGTCATCTGAAGCACTGTTATGGGTACCTACAGAAATAACTGTTCATTTTCAGTACTTGCTGTATTTGCAGAGTAGTTACTATAATTTTGTAATCTTACTATTAAGATTCACTAAAGTATGCAATAATAGGAAATCTTTGGTAGGGTGTATAAGTCCTGTTTGTTCTAGAATGTGTGTAAAACTTGGCAACCTGGCTCACCTTTTAGACACTTTTGTACACAGACTTACAGAAATACATCTAAAAAGTAGTTATGAAAAGCATCTTCCAGTACTGTGTTGAAATAGCTACATTTGTTCCATTCCTCTCTGTAATCTCATTTCACAACAATGGGGGAACAAGCTGATGATTAGCATGTTTGCTGATTCTGCAATTAGAAGCCTTGGGCTAGTCCTAAACACGCTGATTCCATTAGACTTGTGAGGAGTGCTGGAGATGGCTCACTAATTGTGATAAAAGGGGTCCCAGCATGTGTCAAGCACATCCACAGTAACT